ATATCGCTTTTCTTAGTGCGATCAAAGTGATTGCACCAGCTGAGAGTCACCATAACAGTTGCATAACAAACTGAGTGGAAAAACAAAATGGTACAGTGATGATGTAACCGACAAAGCATTTTAGTTTTGATCAAATATACATATATATAATGTGTGCTTGTTTAAAGACGTTTCAACTGTTTTCGTTTTTTTAAAAACCATGTTGTACCTTTGATGTGTTTTGGTACTGTTTCAAAATGATATGTGTTGTGTGCTATCTGAGTTAAACACAAATCAACACACTTCCAAGTGTCCAGACGGTATAACTTTCGCTCCCTCTCACTCGAAGCAAGACTCGACCACAGTAGGTCCGTCATACACTGGGTTTATTTGACAGAACACATGAGGGTATGCACAAGCCCTCACTTCAACAAAACTGCAGAGACGTAAAGATTGATCCCAATGGGCATTCGCACAAAGTCCATTTAGTCCTCACTCACTCTCTGTCTCAACTTGTAGGGAGTTCTCTCCCTGACCACTACAGCCCCTGAAGGTCTACAGCGTCCCACAACTCTGGGCTCGCCGTACATCTGAATAGGACGAAGTCTCCTATCCACTGGACCTTGATATTCTTTCAGCAGACAACCACGGCTGACTGGAGACAGACTTCCCTTGCCGTTCTCCAAAAGCACACAGCATGTCAGCCTGTCGAAGGACTCTGATGACCGACAGGACTTTTAACACAAGTCCCCCTCAAGCACACAGCTCTCGTCGGCATCCCCACTGTTCTGTTTCCGTGGAGACCCTACGTCTCCTCGCGTCGTAACCCAGAACAGTAACTATTGGAGCATCCCGTCCCCTCGGACTTACTTTGCCAGCGGGACCATACCTTCGACCAGTACCACAACCTCAACCCTTACTCAGACCTTGATATCTGATAGTTGTACAGTACTCTGTCTTACTCGGGAGAGATAATAACTGATCCTGGCTTGGTCTCTCTCTCTCTCTCTCTCTCTCTCTCTCTCTCTCTCTCTTGCTCTGACTCCCAGACTCTGACTGACTCGGACTGACTACTCAGCCCAATTTATCTCTGCCAAACTCATGTGGGTGCCTGATGTTTACACGAGAGGCACGCTCTTGTGGGCGTTCTCAGGAATCATGCTCATGTGGGCGTTCTCGGGAAATCACGCTTACGTTGGCGAATGTTGACACTTTTCCCCTTAAACTCCCGGAAAGTACTATCATACCACTCTGTCCCTTCACACAATATTACTCTCCCAAATCAGCACGCAACAATTTGATACTATTCCAAGGGTTCATGGTGAAGTGGTCACGCAGTTTGCCCGCGTTCTGAAGGTCGTGAGCTGGTTTCGCCGTCAGTTCACGAGCACACTTTTTACGGAGATCCCTGGAGATCGTTGCCCGAGCCACCAAAGTTCGTGCTCTGTGTGACGCTCTTGACAGACAGCTGGCTGTTATAAGGAGAGAGACGGCCATATAAGATAAAATCCTGTGCAATGAAGTCGATCCTTTCACCTTTTCTTTTACATTTAGGACAATTCTTAAAAATATTTCAACAGCCCTGCCCCAGAAAGTTCTATCTGGTGTCGATATTTTACACGGTACTTGAGTTAGCGTAATTTGGAGATTTTTCCCCCGTCGGCAATTATCTTCAGTGCAATTATGTCTCGCAGTTAATGTAACAAGATTGCTTGGTTATAAGTTTGCTGTCATATGGGGCATTACCGTAGTTCTGACAAAAATCAATATGTGACAAGCCTGTTTCAGCCAACGCATGACTGTTATTTGTTAGTTGTCCTTGCAGGTGGATTCTGGTTAGGTACGCATTATTTGTGCTTTCTCGGCAGATAATTTTGATTAATTTTAAATCTTTTAGTCCCAAACAATTTTGCTGCAGCTATCCGGGAAGGATATTAACTATTTGCAAAAACAAAAAAGCATTAATATAACACGTAAAACGGGCATATGATTTGTTCAGTAGCAGCAGCAGAAGAAACAAACTATATACTGTGCCAGATTTCTTTAGTGCTTTCAGACCAAAAGTATATCGTATGTTGACACACAGTGCGCTTGTTGATACAATGAGTCCGAAGCTAATCTCACGTGGGACAGAAAGAGTCAAGCAATTATGAGCGGGTCTGTTGGTCGGCACATCTCACAAGGCAACATCACACACGGTAACATAAAACACGGTAACATAAAACACGGTAACATAACACACGGTAACATCACACACAGTAACATCACACACGGCAACAGCACGCACGGTAACAGCACACACGGCAACAGCACGCACGGGCACATTACACACGGTAACATCACACACTGTAGCATCACACACGGTAACATCACACACGGTAACATCACACACGGTAACATCACACACGGCAACAGCACACACGGTAACATAAAACACGGTAACATCACACACAGTAACATCACACACGGCAACAGCACGCACGGTAACAGCACACACGGCAACAGCACGCACGGGCACATTACACACGGTAACATCACACACTGTAGCATCACACACGGTAACATCACACACGGTAACATCACACACGGTAACATCACACACGGCAACAGCACACACGGTAACATAAAACACGGTAACATCACACACAGTAACATCACACACGGTAACAGCACGCACGGTAACAGCACACACGGCAACAGCACGCACGGCCACATTACACACGGTAACATCACACACTGTAGCATCACACACGGTAACATCACACACGGTAACATCACACACGGTAACATCACACACGGCAACAGCACGCACGGTAACAGCACACACGGTAGCGTCACACACGGCAACAACACACATAGTAACATTACACACGACCATATCACACACGGCAACATCACACACGGAAACATCACATACGGCAACATCACACACGGCAACATCACACACGGTAACATCACACACGGCAACATCACACACGGCAACATCACATACGGCAACATCACACACGGCAACATGACAAAGGGCAAGATGTAGCACTTATCGGTTAGTACCCTTGTGCCATTATGTTGATCCGTTGTATAAACCACAAACAAGGAAATGGTTAATGTTTAGACAACGGATAAACATCAGGGCACAAGGGTAGTAACCCATAAGTTCTCCGATCTACTGATGACTCAAGCCTGAATCCGAAGTTTCTCAGAACAGTGCACGAACTCTGTAGCACCGGAGAGGATCCTGAAAATACTTTAGGTGGATTTTTAAACGCACATTTTGCAAGGGAAGCGTCGTAAGGCTACTTTTTCCGATTTCCAACTGCTAAGGGTTTATTCACGTGGGCAACAATACACACGGGCGTCCGATCTTACTACCTAGAGACCAGGGAAAATTACTAGAAGTCCACGTAAAAAAATCCCCGCCTTCATCTGGGCCTAAACAACGAACCTCAAGCACTCAAGGCGAAGGCCATGCCTCGAGACCACGTAGCCCCCACAGGGAAGAGGGAAAGGGGGAGGGAGGGGTGTTGTTCATCTGTTATAAGTGATGGAAACTTAGCATCCAGAAGTAGTAATGATTATTGATTGTGAGTCCGAATAGCTGATGAGTCCAGTTTAAGCTGGGACAGTTTTTGAGTAGCGACGACAAAAGAAGGAGGCAACAGTAGAGGCAGGGGTCGCTACGTAATTTCTTCTAGTCTGACTCTGTTTCTCTGCCATTGCAACCTCTGCTGCCTGACAGGCTGACGCAGCATGTTTGAAGACTGTAAGTGATTTAGACAGGTCCTGTGCAACAGATGTAACCGGTTTAAGAGTCTCCTTGCAGCGTTTTGTTTTCTCCACATAGGTGTCTTTTTTCTAAACTTAAGTTCGCCAGAAACTAATTTCGTTGAAAGCTGATGGTCTGGCATGCGGGGCTAGGTCACTGGCCCAGCTGATATAAAACTTCTTAAGTTTTGTTTGGATACTTGGTAGGTTTGCCCAACTGGAATCATATTTTGCAATTTAATTTTCAACACTTTTCTGGGACAAGCTACGTGCAAACGATCCAGCTGTTTCTCATGGCACTAATAGACTGATCACGCTTAACGTAGATAAAGTAAGACTTGTGCAACTGTAACACCGTAAAGCCTTAGCTTTTTCTGCAAGGAAATTTCATTTCAGTGCAAGTTTAGTGTGGAGATCATACACGTGTGTCAAGAGTCAAGACTGATCAAGACAAAGAAATCCAGCTCATCAATTCAAAGCCATTTGCTTGAGTTCCGAACACGTAATCATTTTAGCTTTGAATCTACATAATCTTTATTTATTTTTTCGTTATTACCGATGATGATGAAGACGTTCAACCCAACCAAGATATCACACCGAGCAATGAACTCCCGCTGACACAAAGTACGACCATTCGGATGAGGATCACCAGGGGACAGGTTCCAAAAACCGGGTTCAACCTATAAGTTGGGTTATATTTGATTTACATTGATTCAAAAACCGAACATGATAGCACTCGGGGCATTTCCATAAGCGCTCCATCCCCATCTTCAGCAGCCAGCGAAGAGTTCCGATACTAATAGTGCCAGTAGCATTCTGATCAAACGTCCTCCTTGCATTTCCTCTGAGCCTCGAGCATCTGCCAGAACCCCTCGTCACTCCCCCCTGCATCAATCTCACCAGACTGTGGTGATCCATCTGCTCCCCCGAACTGTACACGCTCTCCCACAAGGAACTAACCACGTCTGTCTTATCATGTATTAGTATTCCACCAAGTTGTGCTGAGCCAGTCAGTCTGTCCGCCTGTTAATTTCCCAGTACACCGGTGTTGGGTTAAATTAGGTTGATGTGTATCCTTTACCGACTCTCTGTCACAATGGTATAACGACATGGACTGTTACATATCTCACCCAAATAATTTAAAAAGATGTACTGCCAAACGTGAAACTATTCGAAAAATAACCCATTAATCAAACATTATTTTTGTTGGATTAGTTTAACGTTTATTATTTGCACACCTACATCTTTGTTAATGAATGTCATTGATCCCTGCCACACACAAAATGCAGCATTAAATCGAATAAATGACTATTGCACCCGGGATGAAGGTCCGTATCTTCAGACGCCACAGTTATGTCCCATGTTGGGAAGTAGATAATACGATCTTGGAGATCCCTGAACGTCTCCTTTTGTATTGTAATTAGATGCTGAGCCAGGACATCACCTACGCAATAATCTTCAGGCTCTCGCTTGGAAACATGAGGCCCCTGAGAAAGATAATTGTTATAACATTAAAGTCCACACACTGAGTCCTTTATTAAGTAAGCAATTAAGTAATTGACCCCCTCTTAATGCCACTAAAGCATTAAACACATCAATGATTTATTCATATCTCTAAATATCAATGGACACTCTACAGGTAATATGGTCATATAACTTGTGCTGCCTTTACTTCCAAGGACATTTTTTGGGTATCTATATTAGGTTGGGCTAAGCTGGGTGTCAAGGTCTTTGTTTTTAAAATTCATACTCGAAACGGATTTGATGCCAATATATTTAGGCTGGGTTGTTTTATTAATGGCATGTAACTCCCTAAACACAACATTTGCAACATTCTAGTTCTATGCACCTCATGTTGTATCATGATTATTCTATTCCAGTCTTGGAATCAAGACCGCTATTTCGGGATTTGAAACGCCTAAGCCACAGGCACTGACATAGTGCATCTCCTCACTAGCCTCCTTAAAATTACCGATTAAGCCAGTTCTTCTCTTATTAACCTACCTTCGTATGTCATTGAACTTTTACAACTGGCAGTTTCAGTTTTGAACTCCCTTATTCTCCAGAGCATTCATCGTCCCTGTAGCAAAATATGGATGTGAGTCGTGGACTATCCCCCATTCATTAAAACAGAAAATAGATGCTTTTGAGCCGAAATGCTATGGAAAGATTCTCAGAATTACATAGGAAAAAGAAGAAAAGAAATACTGATATTTTAAAAGATCGAACGAACGAACGAACCAACGAACGAACGAACAAACTTTATTTTCAAAGGGTTAAGAATTGGGCACGCAGGTCCGTCTAACATTCTGCCCTTCCACTCCGCTCCTTTCATACAATGCTTCATTTTTACCTCATTTCATAGTTAATAATAATAATAATAATAATAATAATAATAATAATAATAATAATAATAATAATAATAATAATAATAATAATAATAAAAATAATAAAAAGAGGAATGCACAATTAAAAATTTGAGAAATATAGAAAAAAAAAACAAAAGAACAAAAAAGAGAATAAAAAAAAAATTACAATATCTAAGTCTTAATTACAAATGCTGGAATGTGCTCTAATTTATACTGACATTACTTGAACGTTTTAAAGAGTATAATAATCTGAATCTGAATATCAAGGTAGCTAATAAACAGCATCTTGTCTCGGAAACTAAAATAATTTATTCATATCAAAGGCCATGGCGGATTGAAAAAAAAAAAAAAAAAAAAAAAAAAAGCGGATTGTTTGTTACCAGGAAGCAGGGGCAGACCATCACGAAGATAGCACAGTATACAAGTGTCTCCTTGAATGAAAGCACATGAGGCGAGAGAGCTGGCGAGAAGCCGAGTTTCAGGCAAACTGTGATGAGAGCGGCGTTCTGCAAAAGACCTGCTACATGATGATGATGATGATCCTCCAGGGTGGGCTTTTTACTGTTATGCGTCACGTCATATAAAACTGGCGAATTAATGACGATTAATATCAGGTCGCGGCATCCGTGACTTAGACGTTGCGAGTCCGACTCGTAATTCCAATGTACCGCGATCAAAACCCACTGCTGGCTGCGTGGATTTTTATCGTGGTATGGGACGTCGCCGGTCGACCCAACCTAAAAAATGGGTACCAGGATGGGCTGTCCTGGAGAAGTAAAGACGGCCTGTGTAAAGCTGACCACATTACCCACCTTGTGCCGATGATCTGGAAAAATACAGGCGCTTTTGCCATATACCCGATACGCCTAAAGGCGTGAATAGGGATCTTTACTTTAAATAAAATAACCTTGGCTCCCAGGTCGACCCAGCCTTAAGTGGGTACCGGGTGCAGTCCCGGGAAGTAGAGGCGACCGGCGTGATGCTGACAACATCACCCATCTTGTGCCGTTGGTCTATAAAATATAGATCTAACCCTATCTGCCCCATACGCCCAAAGGCGTGGAAAAGGGTCCTTTACTTTATTTTTTAAATATCACATCACCAAGGACAGACCCATAGATGCTCTGATCTCCTCCTCAGAAGCTCCACGCGTGTAAAACAGCTGATGAATACTGTTCTGTATTGATTAAATAAACGTCTTGTTCCCTTGGTGAATGTTCCTTTAACAAAATCACGTTACGTCAGAAAATTGACTTACCCGTAACAGTATTATCCCTTGTGGGTTTCGCTCCAACAGCCTGACTATTTCATCACGCAAGGCTCTCAGAGCTCTCTCGTAGACGCTGACGTGATGGGCGACAAAGTGAAGGTAGTGGTTGAAACTGATGAAATAACGGCCTTGTGACGGAATTGTGTCAAACAGTCTCTGAGGTGAGTACAGTGCAGAAGTGACCATGTACCTTCCCTGAATTTAAATATGTATTATATGTTAACCATGCACTTTGTTTAAAAGATATTATTGTAAATTTTGAGCTTTTGAGGTTTTGAGTTTTTGAGGTTTTGAACAACTGATCAAATTCATGGCACGTGGATGTAACCCATAAGTGCTCCGTTCTTCTTCTAACCCAAGTCTGAGTGCAAAGAAGCTAAGAACAGTGCACAGGCTCCGTAGCACCAGCGAGGATCCTGAAATACTTTGAGTAGATTTTTAACTTCATATTTTGCCCAGATAGCGCCGTTAGGCTACTCTTTTAGATTTCCAACTGCCAAGAGATTTTTACGTGCGCAACAATGCACACGGGCGTCCGATCTCCCTACTCATAGACTATGGGGAGTTAGTAGAAGTCCAAGTCCAGATGAAAAAATCCCAGCCCTTACCAGGGATTGAACTTCTAGCACTCGAGGCGGACACCATACCTCGAGACCACGCAGATCCCTTTTATAAATTTTAAGGAAAATTACCAATTTAGGCTTTTCAACTCCCCCCCCCCCCCCAACCCTCTTTCCCAGCTCATTGAGGAATCGGACATTTAATGCGAGGATGATATTTGTATAGAACAATTGGAACACGATGGGTTGATGTGATAAACATCAAGACGGTCGCCCTTACTACCCAGTATATTTATTGCCTTTTTGAAGGATGAATTAAAGAATATACCGAGTATATCATTAGATCTCGCTTGTCGGCGCAATAATTGTGATCATGCAAACTCAAGTTTTAGAACAAGACCAAAGTCTAGAAGTGGACGATCAACAAGTACCTTTTGCCAGAGTTTACAACCGGTGAATGCTCGGAAGCTCCCAGGGGAGATCCGCCTCGGCAGATGGTCGTCAGGAGGCAGCGATTGAGAAATATGTTACCTAAGCTGCATATAGATGTGTTTGGAGCAGTCTCATACAACAAGCGAGACAAGTGGAGATAATCCTCCTGACTCTTGAATGGCAAACATCGTTTGAGAAGTCGCGGGTAGTTAGCGTCATTTGGATTTTTCTGCAGGGCATTCAGTGGGGATGAGAAACGGTTGTCTGCTTCTTCACCAGTGGAAGGTGAATTAGAGGTATGCAATGGCGAGGAGGAAAGGGCGGGATTAAGTGAACGATGTGGAAGCAGGAACAGATTATCGGAGTCTGGTTACACTATTGCAGTAAAGAGTGCTTAGAGGTTCCAAAAAAAAAAAAAAAAAAAAAAAAACTCACAGAGAAGTCAAGACGAGCCTACAATCACACTGATAACATAGTCAGAAATAACTACAGAGATTGATAGATACAGTAGTGTTAGATAGTGATAGAATAGGTATCAACATGAATAATGGGTAGGTAGAAAAAATAGTTATATCAACAACAACAAAAATAGTAAGTGAAGAACTTTTTCTACGCCTTTAGACGTACAGGGCAAATAGAGCTAGATGGGTGATGCGATCAGCATCACGCCGGCCGCCTTTACTTCCCGGGACTGCACCTGGTACCCACTCGAGGCTGAGTCGACCTGGGAACCAAGATCATTTAAAAAAAAAAAAGTACGGCTCTGCCAAGGAGCGAACACACGACCTTCTGATCCGCAGACGAGCGTCTATACGCTCCGCCACAGTGACGCACATCAAAGAAAATAATAGTGCAATAATGTATAAAAAAAGGTCAAAGGCGTTATTTTAGAACATATAGAGAAATGTAACATCTATATCCATTGATAACATCCGACAGAAGATATATCCTGCATTTTATAAAATGAAGAACCTTTTATGGATTCAATAAATCAATTTCACTGGAAGTTAGAAAAAAGAATTTGTGCATGCTATGTAGAGCCAGTTGTAAAAATAGATGTGATTACTGGACATTTTCACATTTTCATTTAGGGCGCTGCGTGGTCTAGAGGCATGGTGGCCGAATCGAGTGCTAAAGGTTCCAAGTTCGATCCCCGGTAAGTGCTGGGATATTTTTCACGTGGACTTTGACTTTTAGTAATTCCCCCTGGTATCTGGATAGTGAGATCGAACACCCGTGTGCATTGTGAGGCACGTAAAAATTTCACTGGCAGTTGGAAATCGAGAAATTTGAGTTAAAAATCTACCCAAAGTATTTCAGGATCCTCGCCGGTGATACAGAGCCTGTGCACTGTGCTTACTTCACACTCAGAATTGAGTTAAAAGAAGAACGTAAAACTTATGGGTTACTACCCGTGTGCCATGATATTTATCCGTTGTTTAAAACCTCAAAACCCATACTAGACATAATAAGTCAAGCAAGTTCTTGAGGCCTTGGAGACGGGATTTTATACAAGAATCTCTAGAATTCACTGTACAGCCAAAAATAAAGAGCAACTCAAATAATTTGTTTTGGGGAGCGTAATGTTCACCGTTTTGTGTGTTAACAGGAAATTTAGGAAGACTCACCCAAGCAATGTTGAATGGACTTCCATGATACCGGTTGAGAATTGTAATATTGTTCTTCCTGTTTTCACAAAATTTCCGCGAGTGCTTGAGCTCTTCGTCTTTAGCTAGCGTACTTTCCTGACACACCATTTTTGACTTGACTCTGTCGTAGAACATTCTGGAATTGGAATCACCGTAGAAAAACATCTGGGAGTAACAGAAAAAAAAAAAAAAAACATTTGAATAGGTTTATAATACAAGTGAGGAGAGGCTGGCTGAGGGTTAGAAGGCTGGGCTCTCGAGCGGGAGACCATGGTTCGATTCCTCTGTAAGGTTAAAAAGTTTAAAAAAAAATTCATTTATGTCAGTATGAAAAGTAAAAATGCAAACTTGTATACAGTCCGTGATTACTACACAAGGCATGCGACCGGAAATTCTCAGGCTCAACAGTCTTTGTCCCCCACTCCCCACTCCCCTCTCTCTCCACTCCCCCCTCTCCCCACTCCCCCTCTGCCCACTCCCCCTCCACCACAGCTCCCATAACGTACACAGTCCTAAAGTGTGCTAAATACCGGTAGTAACGACTTTTTAAAAACTCCTTTGGTCCGAAATCCGTGTTATTTTAAATCCCTTCTATCCCAAGAAATTGAACTTGAAATCAACAATTACTCAAATCGATCATATTTGCCGTGACCAGGCCCCTGTGAATTCCGTTCCTAAAATGACCGCAGAGAGATTTAGACACGTCTTGAAGCTCTGGTGCACCACGAAAGTGGTGGTTCGCCTGTGGATCATTTTTGTCATTCAATAAAAACGAACAAACAAGTTTAACATAAGAATGGGGCCGAAGATGATTACTTCTTCTTCTTTACGTTCACCGGTTATAAACTCCAGCGGAAATTTCTGCATGTTCGTCCACATCTGGCATTTTGTATTGTTCCTGAACTTGAATTCTGTAAGCACTTCCATTCTACAGAATGCAGACTGTTGGTTTGTCGTCATTCAGGCAGGCGATCGACTTTGAAGGAAACCTAATTAGCCAACATTTATGACAGATTTGTTAGGGGGCAGGGGTCAGTTATTTCCCCAACAACGGGGCCTCAGAAGCCAAGTGGGAGAATAATTACTGAATGAGATCAATCCGTCAAACGACCAGGCGTCATCTCCACAATTAAACTTGGCCGCAGTACCGGTTGTACACTGTCGATATTGAATGGTCGTCAATGGTGCCAGTACAGAACTCTCTTTTTTTTTAACACGCTAAATTTTCGCTATGGTTTAAGATTTGAACCTCGTCTGAGCCTCGTCACCTTCGCACAAGGTTACGGGAGTGGTCAGCGATACCGTTGATATCGCGAGTTTCATTTTTAAGCACGCCAGCGCTTTTAACGCTCAGACAAAAAAAAAAAAAAAATGGAGCCCTGGCACTAACACAACTCCCTACGGGAGTGCTGCAACCTATGTTACAGGCATTCTTTTTCTCAGGATAAAAACGTAAATGGAATACAACACAGAAAGCAAACAGTCGATTCTTTGAGTCGAGTATTTGAGCTGTGGGTCTTCTTCTTCCTCTACCTTAATAGGAAATAGAATAGAAATCTCACAATGGAGCTTGGGCCTTTAACTAACTCACGACAAGTCGTTCTAACCTTCGCTATTGAAAGTAACTTACACTATGTCCTCTACATATTTTTATGTTCACTGTCTAGCTCCATTCTCAATGTCTGTGTGGTGTGTATGTTTTTGTGTGTCTGCCTTCATTTCTATGCCCCTGTGCGTTCCAGTGCCAAGACATTCTATTTCCTGACATTACATCTTTGACATAACTCTGTAGTAAAACATTCTGGAATTGGAATCACCGTAGAAAAACATCTCAGGGAAAATGCATTTGAATATGCTTATAACACATGCGAGCAGTGGCTGGTCGAGTCTTTGTAAAGCTGAGTATTCATGCAGGTAATCCGGGTTCAAACCGTCGATACGATAATAGCTTTTTGTTCTGTGGGAAGGAAAAATAATTACATGTAGAGTTTGTGATGACAACACTACGGCCTTATATCCTTAACCGCAATGAGCTTAACCTTATCCACCTCCCCACCAAGGGCCTTTAAAAAAAAAAAGTAGAGGCAGTATTGGCGCAAGAACACATTATCCCTACAATTTTCTGCAGATATTTGATAATCTTAAGCAACCTTTTTCACGTAGTAAAAAAAAAAAAAAAAAAAATAACTCTTTCAGTCCCAAACAACCTATGATGTGTGGTTAGGTCTCCAGTGAATCTCACCCAGAATGTAACATGTTTTCGTCTTTTTTACATTTGATCAGAGAATACTAAGAAAATCTGCCTCTCATAGTACTCAGCTTGTTGGAAAGGACTCATGGTTTGTCCTGCCGCTTATTTACAAAATGTGGAATTTTTCCGCAAGTTCGTTTGGTACTCAGTGAATTAACTAGCAGCTTTCTTTCTTCCCACTTACCAGGCATACACATGCCTGATGATTTTGAAATGTTTGGTAAAGATTTATAATGTTAAAGTAATAATTTTTTTTTCCCTACGTCGCTGGATCAATTTTGGCTTGCTATAAATATAATTATGATACTATTATCGATCCATGGATTCACAAAGAGGTACTGATGTAGATTAAATAAGTAGAAGAAAAGAAAATTAGCAGTCATTGAAAGATGTCTGAGAAAGGCTGTAGGAGGGACCAGGCTATGTAAGACCAGTGCCTCCACCGTTTCTAGACTTTTTCTCTTTTTTTTTGTATCTACATCATTTGCATAACTAAGGATTCGTATTGTTTCTCCTATGGCACGGTTTTCTTTTCACCTTATTACCAAGTTGAATAGACTGTATGAGCAACACCAAGCAGCAAATTATTTGAGAAACAGAAGATAAATGGTTTGGACATTTAGTAAGAATGCATTCAGAACAACTACCAACAAGGGGCTTTACTCATGAAACGATTTGAAGTGATATCAAGAGGCACCCCATGAGAAATAGACTGATGACATTAATGAGCTTTTTATCGACACAGAATGACAATAGCCATTGATGCCCAATAAGCAGAGGATCGCAAACTGGACCTTCCCCCAACGCTTAACGGCAGAAGTAGATATTGATGATAATGATGATATCCAAGTTAAACAGACGAAGTTAAGAGGAGACACGGCGTTATTCAAGAAGGGTACGACTGTCTACAGTTTTATAATTCTATATTTAAAGTGTCATTCATAAACAGTCTAATCATGTTGATTAACTTCTTTGGTATTCTAAATTTCTGCATAGCATGTCCCAAACTATTCCTACATAACCTACCATTACCTTTATACAATTCACAAAAGCAACATGCACACTTTATTCTAAATTCCCAATATTTCTCCTTTGTCTTAAGATGAGTATTTGATTTCTTGTCGATCTTTATGTCGGAAGTTCATCTTTTGTCTCCCAGTATATTTTATGCATACGATTATTGTTTGTTTAGCAGTACCGCTGATATTATCTTATAACTTGTAGACAATATATTCTTTTATTAGTTTCACAGTTGTACTTGTCTCATTTTGTTTTTAAAAGATAGGTATCAATAATTACCTTTACTACTCATGTAATAATTACTTGGGTTTCCAAACTTGTTTTATTTATTTGTTTATTGTTGAATGTACCGTATGTCTATTTTTTGGGAGGTCAAGTTATGAAAAGCAGTATCTTATTAAAAAAAAAAAAAACAATTACAGAGACCACACGAGAAAAGAAACAAGCCAAGACAAGAAATATCACCTGTACATTCTTTAAACATGACTCATCAAGCTGCTCCACCTTGTCAGGGACAAAACACAAAAACGGTTTCCAGACTTTGTGGTAAAAGTATCCAGTTGGTTCTGACTGATGCCAAGTAGATCTTGGAGACACTTTATTACAGGGAACATTCGGGTCTGGCAGTCTTGTAAGGCCAGACTTCGCTGCCAGTGAGAGAGATAGAGAGAGAAAACGTATTACAGAATTAATTAATAATACACTATTAACACAAGGTACATTAAAAGATACATTACAAATTATGTCAGGTCTGTCAGTCGCTGGTAGTACAAGAGAAAGAAAACTCCAGCTTATGATTCACACACACACAAACTAGTTAAAATGTAAGTCTATGGGGCACAGAGGGTTTTAAAATGTAAGTCTTTGGGGCACAGATGGTTTATCTAACAATTCACATATAATGATTGAATATAAAAACTGCAACTAAAGAGAGTCAAAAAAGTGTACTGTCTGTAGACTGACAAAAGAACTTTAGGCGAGCTGTATTGTACTGACAGAATACTTTGTTTTCTTTCTATGGCCATGCATGTCATACATACGATACGAAATTATTGTAGGGATACGAGGAAAGAGGTTCCATGCTGATAAAACCTTCTCATATTTCTCACTTCAGAAATTAGCTTTAGTATTCATAATCTTTGAATAACAGAAAGACAGAAGTAATGGTGGCTTCACATACAGACAGAAGTAATGGTGGCTTCACAGAAAGACAGAAGTAATGGTGGCTTCACAGAAAGACAGAAGTAATGGTGGCTTCACAGAAAGACAGAAGTAATGGTGGCTTCACAGAAAGACAGAAGTAATGGTGGCTTCACAGAAAGACAGAAGTAATGGTGGCTTCACAGAAAGACAGAAGTAATGGTGGCTTCACAGACAGACAGAAGTAATGGTGGCTTCACAGACAGACAGAAGTAATGGTGGCTTCACAGACAGACAGAAGTAATGGTGGCTTCACAGAAAAGGATTATTCCTCAATGTGTAATAAAAGTCAATGGTATTATTTTGAGACAAGGATAACATTAGATGACAGATGCATTACTGAGATACTGAGATGAGAAATAGAATAGGACAGGAGAGAACTGCGTTTGATAAAATGAAAAACATCTCATGCAATATATTTCTATAATTAAAAGTTAGAAAAAGAATTCTCTCTGGCTACATACATCTAGTTTTAACACATGGCTGTGAATCCTGGACAATCGGTAGGAAGTCCAAACAATTTTTTGAGGCCTCAGAGGTGTGTTTTTACAGAAGTGCTTAAAATACCTTGGACAGCCAAAAAAGAGCCACCAAGAGGTTTTGAAAGAGGCGGGAGCCCGAAGACAACCTATCACAGACATCAGGAGGCAGCCATTTTTTTTCTCCCATGTGATGAGAAGAAGGAAAATGGAACAAGTTGTGACCACTGGAAAGATCTGTGGAAGGATAGACAGATGAAGACACCGAGAGAAGATTCTTGACAGTCTTGTTGCATGGCATGGAGGTGTGTCAGCACAGGACACATGCTGCAGGTGATCGCGGATTGTGGAGAGGCATAATCGCCCACTATTTTTTTTATTAACTATATTTTTTAAATTATAATTATGATTCAAAGTCACAGAATCGTCAATGAATGTCAACTATTTTACATATTTATATGTTTGAGAACTTATTAAAGCACGCATATATTATTGATGTACAGAGGTGTCTTTGTAAAACAAGCAGATAGGAGTTAACTTACACTGCTAGTGTCATCACGATTTTATCAATTCCGGTCCATTTTAGGATAAAATTTTTCATTATTTGAAGCCCTACTCTGGCTCTTGCCAGGGGCCGCAATATAGCCCGGCCATAAATATGTCCTAATGGCTGAACGCGGTTTCTGGGACCTCTCCACGGTGATCCTCACTCACATGGTGGCACATTGTGTCATCGGGTGTTTATCGCTTGTGTGATGTCCTGGTGGGGTAGAAAGTCAGTCAGTCAGTCTAGTGTCATCACTGTTATCGTTTACTTACTTGCTTCTACATTAACGATAACATTCATAGGCAAGAAGTGTCTGTGGAATGCAGAAAATGAGATAATATCAAAGGAAAGTGGATTATCACGTAACACTGATTTATAGGAGTATTTACCAAACGCATAGTAGCCGTCATGGTGTTGTGGCTACGTGCTCGCCTCCGCATCCGAAGGTCGTTAGTTCAAATACGACTGTTTTTTCTTTCTTTCAAAAAGGACATTGGTTCCCAATTCGAAATGTGTACCAGGTAAAGTCCTGGGAAGTAAAGGTGACAGGGTATTGTTGACCAAAGCACCAATCATGTGCCGATTGGTCTATGGATATATGTCTAGCCAAAATACGCCTGAAGGCGTCGAGAAGGGTCAATTTCTTTAACTGAAATGTACTGTATACGTACATTTAAAAAAATTGAGTCAGATGTCCGATATTCATAACATTTAAGATAAGTAATTCTACAATAAAAAAAAGTATCTAGATTCATCTCTATATTCGTAAAATCCATTAATAGTTAACAGTAAGCAAAACATTATCTGTATTCTGCTCCGTATTTTTATAATATTGAATTAGCAATATTATTTAAAGTGTAACCTTTTTCGTCGATACAGCAAAACCTATTTTTTTAAGCAAAAACTGGGAGGGCATGGCAGATTGCCAATGCCTATTACCCTCCATATTTGTAAATTCCAACATTAGTAATATTTGGGGAGGGGGAGGGGGCGGTTGAACCGTGCATCCATATTCATAGGAATATAGCTAACAGTCAGTATTAGTAAATAGTAGAAACATAATTCACATATTCTCCTCCATATTTGTAAAATCGTTTTTTTTTTAATATTAGAAAAAGTGTATCCATTTTCGTTCTTATGTTTATAAAAGGCAGTTTTAGTAAAATTAAGAAAAATAATTGTACATAGCCAGCTCCACTGTTATAAAATCAAGATTTAGGGATGCTAGACAACAAAATGCCGAGCCGTCTTAACAGCGTTGTGGGCCCCTGGGTAAATTAGTATGCTGAGGTCTCTACAACAATCACTCACGGAATGAAATGAAAATTGTCGATAATATTGAATATATACACAGATTAGCAAGGACCCCTATGCTCGTGAGGCCCCTGGGCAAGGGCCTATTGCACGCATACGATAAGACGGCCTTGACAAAAATATACCCATATTAGTTATACTATTCGTTTGGACGAACCAGCACATCGCACAAATCTAAACAATGACCCAGCATGGGGGCTCATCGCTTTAGATAAGTGACCACGTAATTATTTATTCACAGATTATTGATACAAAATGAACTAAATTTCCTCCACAAGGCGACGCAAACAACCCCTCATTATTATCTTGTCATCCCTTTTTGGCATGCAATTTTTCGTTGTCCTACTCTTGCTTTGCCAGGGGTCGCAATAAAGATCGCCCATAAATATGGTCTAATGGCTGAACGGAGTTTTTGGGACCTCACCACGGGTGATCCTCATCCACATGGTGACACTTTGTGTCATCGGGTGTTTATCGCGTGTGTGATGTCCTGGTGGGGTAAAAGAAGATAGAGAGATAGCAAACAACCTCAGTATTCGTTTGGCTGTTTGTATTTTAATAAATTTTATTTATGTGATCAGTGTTTGCTATTCAGTCGTCGTTGTTTGCCTTAGGCGTTTCGAAAGAGGTTCTTAATTCCGTAGTGCATGGTTCGATCTAGCTGCTGGCAATATGACAGCAGACTGCTTTGCGTTGATTTTAACAGGGATCTCGAGAGCTGAACGTCCAATTGCAATGCCAAACTTCTGAAGTTAAAACTCTATAGTAAAACCAAAACAGCTATTAAATACTGCAGTTTTGTCTGCAATGTCCGGAAAAGGATACACAACTAACTAGTTCACAATTGCCATCAAGAACTGTACAATGATCATTTCATTGTCGAATATATTGGGGGTTGCTGGATAAACGTGACGATTTTTTTCCGCAAATGAAGCCGAACCAAGCAAACACAGGTAAGCGCCTGAACAGAGAGCAGTTCTTGATGGCGGAAGCAAAGGATACCATTAGCCACACTGCTCTTTGGCACATGTCAGGTTTGGTGCTGAAGGAACAGAATCACCAGAGCAATCGGAGGAGCACGTTGAGGTAATAATCACCCTGGCCAGATATTGCAGAGAACAGAGCCAAGCAACCGCTGTTGCTGAAATAAGGGCCTTCAGCCATGGAGACACTTGAACAGGTGATGTTATCATCTACACAGATATAAACTACTTACTGGCCGGCTCTCTAGCGTAGTTGGCTAAACCGGATTACGCGGTGACCGGGTGACGAACTCCTTGTGGTCCAGGTTCACTCTCGGGGGTAGGCAGAAAAGCCCCATTTCTCCCAGATTTACGGTATTTATCATGGAATCAAGGCCGACGGGTTGCAGTATCCATAATAACGATCCTAAGGGTTAACAACTCATGGCTTCTGGATACTAAAAAAAAACAAAAAACTACTACTTACTGGCCGGTCCTCTGTTTTAGCAATGCATCTTCAGCCGGTGTGACGGGCATAGGAAACGGAGTCGCCCAGTAGGTGAAATATTGATAATCTGAACAGTTGAGCTCTCGTTTGCTTGGACGACCACAAAACCAAGGGGAGCCGTTGCTCAAAGTCAAATTACATAACTCAGACTTTTGATAGCCTGCCACAAGAGGAATTGGGCTACAAGGAACTCCTTCACTTGCCTGTGAGAGAAAACAGAGATAGATGCGTTACTCAAAGAAAAGTAGAGTCTCGTTGCTGCGGGGTGAGGAATCATAAACAATAAATAATCATGAGATTACATTTTAACATTTAGAAATGAATAGTAAACGTTACTGAAGTAGAAGAAAACAAGTAAGCGATATATAAAGCAGTAAAAGAATAACAAGTATTGAGACAGCTAGCCCCTCTCTTACAGCATAAGACAATCCCAAACATCACAAAGAGACATCTTATTCAAAGCATATTTATTCCAACTATGTGCTACCAGTGCCAGACATGGTCACTCACAACAAACCATAAAAGAAAATTAGTAACCATGGAAATCAGATGTCTGAGAAGGGTTGTGAGAGTGACCATAAGAGATAAGATTAGGAATGAGATCATAAGAGAACAAGTCGGCACAGAACCAATTCTAAATTACATACGAAGACAGCAAGTGAAATGGTTTGCCTACTTAAAGAGAATGCCTTGTGACACCATACCATACAAAGCATACATGGAAAGAGAAGAAGGACGTCGAGCACGAGGTAGATCAAGAACAAGATGAAAGGATAACATAAGAGAAACTCTACAACAGCACGATGTGCCCATGGTCGAGGCGGCCAGAAGAGCTAGAGACAGAACCTTATATCTCCCTCGACACCCACAGCGGTAAAAGAGGAAGTGAAGAAGAAGAAGAAAAAATAACAGGACAAATCATCACTGAGTTAGACAAATCACTCAAATTAATCAAACAGATGCCGACTCCTGACACAATGGCTGCAATGGATCTCCAGGCTTGCTGTTCGAGCTG